GCCCCTCTGGGCGCTGCGCAGGGGCCCGTCCACCCAGCGGAGCCCCGCGCCCGGGGCCGGCTTCCTCGCGGGCGAGGGCGTGTCCAGGGACAGCGCGGGGATGAGCCTCCGTCTCTGGGAACCTGGAGGGGTTGAGCCCAAAGTTCATCTTGTGAATTCCCATCTTTTAAACAGATTCTCTGTGATGCAGGCGGTAGGGCCGTGCCGGGGCCCGGAACCTGCGGCAGAGGTGAGCCTGAGACGCCCCAACGCCCCTCACTGAGCGACTCAGCACTGAACCCCTCAAACGGGCTGGGCTTTACCTCCCGAGGCTCGGGGAACCCTGCCTCAGCGTGGAACCACCTCCAGGCCCACCCGAGATGCGCACACACCCACACGCCCCTCATCACAGCCCCGCTGGGCACCTGGGCTGGGACGGGCTGCAGTGGGGTTAACAGGGTTGTTCTAGGGGTCAGAGGCCTGGTGCTTGGTCGTGGAGTAACAGGAGGCCCAGCGACACTCTAATGATGATGATAACATCGGGGCAGGAGCTAGAGGTGCAAGTGCAGTGACACAGCAGCCCAGGGAGGCCAAGTGCAGGTGAGGAGCAGTCACTCACACGCAATCACACAGCAAGAACTGTGTGTGCTGCCAGGTGGCACTGGAATAGGGGGACCACTTCGTAAATTATGTAAACGTCGAATCACCTGAAACTAACCCTCTCTTATATAATAAAAGGAAAATATGCAAATTGAACTGCGGAACGACCGGTCGCTATGACGCACACTGACCACCAGGGGCAGACGCTCAACACAGGAGCTGCCCCCTGGTGGTCAGTGCGCTCCCACGGGGGGAGCACCACTCAGCCAGAAGCCCGGCAGCGCCAAGGATGCCCGAGGGCTCCTGGACCGCGAGAGGGTGCAGGCAGGCTGAGGGACCGCCCCCGCCCCCCGAGATTCATGCACCAGGTCTCTAGCACCAAATAACATTGAACGTAAAGGGCACTCGTGTGCGGGTATCTTGGACTTCCTGAGCGGCTCAGATTCGGTTACCATTAAATCCATTCCGAGAATGAACTGGGGGCACCCACCAACCACTGCGGGGCCTCCCTGCCCTCTCGCCTCCCCCACAGGCACTGGGAGCCTAGTGAAGGGGGTATGTTGGGGGGGCAGGGAACCCAGGAACTGCGAGTGCCAGAGGGTGGGACGGGCCACAGGCTGCGCCCTCCTGGGAGAGCACTGACCACAGGCCTGGGTCTGGGTCCCACATGGATGTGACTTCTCGAGCTACTGCACGCGCCACCCCCACTGCAGACCTCAGTCTCTGCCAACTACCGCTGCCTTCCCGTTGCCAGAAGGTCAAGGGCAGCAGCTCCGCCACCAACGGCGTGGGGCCCGGCCACAGCCTGAGCCAGCCTCCG